CTTTTCTTTTCTTTTCTTTTCTTTTCTTTTCTTTTCTTTTCTTTTCTCTTCTCTTCTTTTCTTTTTTCTTTTCTTTTCTTTTCTCTTCTCTTTCCTTTCCTTCTCTCTCTCTCTCTCTCTCTCTCTCTCTCTCTCTCTCTCTCTCTCCAGCATCTCACTATGTCACCCTAGTTGACCTGGAACTCTGTAGACCAGAGTGTCCTTGAATTCATAGAGATCTCCCTGCCTCTGCCTCCCAAGTGCCAGGGATTAAAGGTGCGTATTACCACGCTCAGCCTTTCTGATGACAAAATGGTCACTTACCCACTGTGGGTGGACCTGTAGCTAGGCAAAGGCATGAAGTTCAGCATGTGAGGTAGAGTTCAGTGAAACTCTCAGGTGCCAGTAAGCTCTATCTCTTAATACCAAGGCCTGGCATCCTATAGCAGACCCAGCCCAAGGTGAGGCAGGGAGTCAGGGCAGGTGCTATAACTGCCTAGGGTTAGCAGAGACTATCCTCAGTATCCCTGGTGACCCTTTCTAGGCCTTTTGGGCTTCTTATCTGCACTCATCCAGCCATGAAAGCAGGATGAATGCTGACTCATTGGCCTTCATGGGAAGTGCTTCTGAATGGCACTCTACCCAGAGATGTGGGGCTAGGCTGGGCCTGCCCAGTGGGTAGGGAATAGGTGGCAGGGATTAGGGGCCCATCTACTACCATAGCAGGCCCTCCAGGCTGCCTTTCACCCTCCTGGGTTGGCCTTCAGTCCTCAAAGGAAAAGGCCTGAAAGGCCTGGGCAGGAGGTAAAGGCTACATGAGAGCCTCTGGCATCTGGGGTCCCAGAGGAGTACAGCCCTGCTTGAGAACCACAGGTTACCAAGCAGAAATGAAGGCCCTGCCTCCCAGTGCCTCTGTCACCTCCTAGTATGAGAAAGCCATGCGAAAAGTTTCTCCGCTTCTCCAGGGCTGCCTAAAGCCTTCAGGAGGGGCTGGGTAGGCATTGATCGAAGAGAAGGGAAGTGGCTTGTCTGAGGTCATCTGGAGGATTCATGATCAGGAGAGGTCAGAATTACCTCGGTTCTCATCAGACATCCAGGCAGAAGCACAGCCACCCACAACCTACTCTGTTCCCTCCGTCCATGCACAAACCACAAAGGGAAGAATCATTCTATATTACAGATGAGGAAACTGAGGCTCTAAGTGGCTAAGCCCTCTGGTGAGTGGAGAAGCAAACCAGGCTCTGTATGGTCTATGCAAGAGTCCTATTAGCCCTCCCACCATGCCACCCAAGACTTCACTCTCCTTTATCTCTCTAGGGCCAGCAGTTCCACCGACATGGAGGCACTACCTCAAGGACCTCAGGGCCTCCACGCTTCCGGCCTGCTGCTGATGGTAGCCAGAGCTCTTCCAAGAAAGCAATCCCAGCCACAGCAGGTCCCCACCACTGGCAGCCTAAGGGTAGCCCAACATCCCGAATGCTGCCAGATCCTGGGAGCCCAAGGCCAACCCGAAATACTCGCCTACGAGCGGAGCTCAGGGCCACTGAGGAACGCCCGAGTCCCTTCGGAATCCCATACTCCAAATTGTCCCAGTCAAAGCACCTAAAGGCCAGGGCGGTTGGCAGCCAGTGGGCCCCATCTGACTCCAAGCGTAGGGTCCGAGACCACAAGGAACCCTAGCAGCCCAGATGGACCCTAACCCCGCCCCAGAGGGCAGCAGTTGGGGGAGGTGGGCGATGTTGGCCCTCACCTGGTCAGTGCACCAATACCAGGTGGCCAAGATGGTCAGTCCAAAGGTCATCCCAGTCCACGGGAGGTCTCCTGTGGATGGGTCCCGGAACATATGCATGGCGTCTGCCCTCGGCAGGTGGCAGGTGGTATTGGGGATGGTCCTGGAGGGGATGGCCTGGGCATATGCTGCCTCCAGTTGCTCATAACCACCAATCTCGTTGAAAGCTGCAGGAGTGGGTGGAATGGGTTGGTTTTGGGTTGCCCTAACTCCCTGACTCCTACCCTCATCTCACAGATAACTTCATGCGTCAAACTGGAATCTCTACCTCACCTTGCCTGTTCTAGGAAGGGCTGAGGTTAAAAAAAAAAAAAAAAAAAAAGGTGAAACAGAGTATTTTATTTGTATTTAAAATAATATTAAATGAGCATTTTGCACATGGGCCCACAGTGTCCTGTTGGCCAGCAGGAATCCTGGCTAGTCTCTGGAAGCCTGCTGTCTCAGGCATGGGGTTCTCTGCCAGTCTTTGGACTGGCCCTTCAAGGAGGTGGAAGTGGTTTTCTCGGTATTTGAGTCATCTAGTATTGAAGCCATGACCTGAGCTTCTGAAGGCTGTGGCTTCCAGAGAGCTAAGACACTGCTAGCATTGAGGCCCCCTCCTTCCAAGACACAGGGAAGGGAGGCAGAGGCTCCTCAGAGCCTTACAGAAGGCCTAGCAGGTAGGGCTCAGGCCAGGGGTCTTTCCTCTGAGTCTAGAACGTGTCCTATCTACCTCAGGGTTGGGTGGTGCGAGGCCAAGCTCTGGCCTGGCTGTCTCTGTAGTTCCCTGTCCTCTCATCCAGCCGGTGTCTGGCCATTAGGCCCCTCACATGCAGTAGGCTCTGGAGACAGGCTGCTACTCTGGGAGGAGCACACCTGGGTGTAGGGCAGCGTCTGACATCTCCCAGGCCCCCGTTCCCAGCAGGGTGTGGAGCTGGGAGCCTAGGTAGGCCAGGGTCTGTTTCAGTAGGCATCTGTGAGGAGGCCCATAGGTGGCTGTGCCACAGGGTCCCAGGCTCTGAGCTGAGGCTTCATCCTTAAAGCCACCCCCCTTGAGACCTCTTTCCCCCCTCCCTTCCCTGCTGTCTCCCTCCCAGGGCGTGAGTAGAACGCCCCTGTCTGTTTCTAAACTAGTGTTACCTGTCCAGCATACCTCCTTCCCTGCAGGCTTTTGTCTGGCAGGAGACAACATCACCTCCTGGGACAGGACTCTGACATGACTTTAAGCACTGGAGGAAACACCTCAGCACTTTTGTGGTCTGCTAATTGTGTGCCTGCCTGCCCAGCTGCCTGCTGCGGGGACTGCCCAGCCCTGAGGGAGCCTAGTCAGTGCCTCAGCACTGCGCCCCTGTAGGCAGGAGGGGGCAGAGCCCATCAGCCTAGGATGCCCACAGTGGGGCAAATAATTGGCCTAACCTTAAGAGCTCCTCAGGGTGCTAGGACAGCCCACCAGTGCCCAGCCCCCAGACCTCACCTTTGACAGCCAGAATGACGGCGCCCACCACCATGATGACCGTCTGCAGCGCATCTGTGTATATCACAGTGGCCAGGCCCCCTGCCAGGAACAAAGTGCCGGAATGAGTGCCCCCTCCCTGAGTCAACAGAATCTGATGGATGTCACCAGAGCTGTTGGTGGGGCTCTGTCCTTGCAGGTGGGTGAGCTGCACCTAAGTACCTAAGCAACCAGTTAGCCAGGCCCCAGCTCCCTGCTCACCACCCGTGAACTGGCCACTCTCAGGGGTCCCTGTGCTGCCCATCATCCTGGCTCCTTGCTCCTGCTGGGCTGTCAGGATCTGTACCTGCGATGGTGTACAGGGCGGTGATGGCGAGCGTGAGGATGGTGGACAGGTAGAAGTTCCAGCCCAGGCAGATCTGGACAAACAGGGCTCCCGCGTACAGGTCAATCTGGGGAAAGCGGAATTGGGCAGAAGTCAGGCGTTACAGCGAGATACAGGGCTCAGAGCCTGGGTGCTGTACTCACTGGCTTTGTGGCCTGGCCTCAGCCATGAATATGGTTGTCTCAGGGAAGAGGAATAGAGACCCTCCCGACCCCAGCTGTTCACTACCTGGTGGGGTGGCTGAGGGTGGGAGAGAGAACTGGCTGTGGGCAGCTGTGTGTCATGTTCAGATTATGGCAGATGTTACTGTCACAATAAAATTTTAAGTGGCCAGTGCCCACCAGAGAGCAGTGTTGTCATTGAATTTAGCCCCTACCCAGGGGACATGAAAGAGCCCTGTCCCCTCAGTTTCATATGGGACTGCGACAAGAAGGCACCCAACTTGACTTCAGAGACTCAAAGAGACGAATAAGCCTCAGAAACAGCTTCTTATGCTCACCTCCCCTCACACCTCTCCCTGCTGCCTCCTTCCTACAGTTAAGAGACCTAGGCATCTGGAACTCTAATCTGGTCTTCCAGGTGACTACTGATGCTTGCATTTGGGTGTGGGTGTGGGTGTAAAGGGGGCAGGGGAGGCACAGTGTATAGGTAAAGACAAGGGAGGGGACAGCCTTCAGCTTGAGCAGAAATGCTGCATCTCAGAGGAGAAAGTACTCTTGAAGAAGCTGCTTAGTATGACTGAAGAGGCTGAGGCTCAGGGAGGGAAGAGACTTCTTGAAGCCAGATCCCTTCCGGATGTCTGCACCTGGCATCATCAGGTGAGGCTTGACTAGGAGAAAGGGTGGGTATGGCAGACCTCTGGAGAGCCAGCTATTCCTGGGGTTTCCTTACCTGGATATGGCCACTCCTAGCACTGTGCTACACCTAGGCCTCAGCTTCTAGCCCCCTGGGCCTGGGACTGTGCTCTCTGTTTCTCATCTTCCAGATTCCCCATCCTGACCCACAACACCACACCTCCTCCATGGTTTCTCCCTGCCTTTCGTGGGAGCACTTGGAAGAGATTGGGGGGCTGATGGCAGACGTATGGGGTAGGACCCTGCTCATCATCCAGCGGGAGTCTCCTGTCCAAGGGAGACCCAGTGGACACTGATGAGACCTGCCTGAGCACCTGCTGCCTAGCGTCCATTCCGACCTTGTACCAATGGAAGTTAATAGCTATGGGACCTAGGGCTGTCCTGTGTCCTATGTGTCTTATACCTCTCGACAGGTCACCTCCCTCCTGGGACACCATGGTCCTTCTCTGTTAAGCAGGGCACCAGGAGCAAACTTGTTTCCAGCAGCCAGCCAGAAATCCTCGGCCTTCTGTCCCTGCAGCCTCCCTGCCTGCCACTTACTAGCCCAGCATTAGCCTGCCACTTACTAGCCCAGCATTAAAGGTCCAGAAGATGAGGGCCCTCTCTGGGACTTCCTGTCCTTTGTGCTGCCTTTCCTTAGTGGTCCTTAGATTCCACAGAGTCTAATCTAATTCCCCAAAACATAGGTGGGGAGATGGAGGCCAAGAGAGTGGAGGAACTTGCCTCTCACAGCAAAACCCCAGAGACAGAGCCAAAAGGACGACATTGGTCATCTTTGTCCTAAAGGAAGGGCCACTCTCAGGCCCAAGGCAAGTCAGGCCTCTGCTATTGCTGCAGTGGGTTCTGCCTGGCCCACGCTCACCTGATCACCATGCCCCCAGCCCCAGCCTTCCCCAGCAACACTGCCACGCCAAACTCTCTCCACGGCTCCTTGCCTACAGCTGGGTTCTTGAAGCCCAGCTGTCCCCAAAGAAGCCCTTACTGCTTTTCCTGCCTTGATAGTGGAGGCATGTTTGTGTGCAGGTACCATCCTGGCTGTCACGTACCTGGTGACTCCCCTAAAGGTCACAGCCCCCAGCAGATGATTGTTAACATGCCTTGCTTAAGGTCCTGTGGTCCCAGGAAGCAGTCGAGGCCATCTTTTCCTGCTGCAGGACCCGGGACCTTCAAGCTTCTGGGGGAGGAACCCAGTGGCTGGGGTAAGACAGGAGGGGTATGAAGGGGAGGGAGACCCTTGTGGGGGTGGTGGAGGAGCTCCATTGGGCTCACAATTCTGAGTTGAAGCACTGTGTTGCCAAAGGAGCGTCACTGTGTCTCCACCCAGTGGAGTGTTGAAGAGGTGAAGAAGGCTTCGGTGACCCAGGCCCCACGCTCTGGTCTGTGCCCTCTCCTTGCCACCCTTGTCCTTTTCTCTCTCTTATGATCCTCCATGGAACAGCACAGAATTCCTGGGACCCCTCCAGGGGTCACCTATGTTCCCAATCCAGGGGCGTGCCATTTTTGTGGGGGCCATGTCAGGTGGGTAAGGCAGCAGAGAAGAGAACCTGCTTGTCTTTGCCACACTCTGCCTTTCACCACCCCCTGCCACTGAGGACTCTTTCCAAATACCCACCTGATTTCCCCTTCCTGCCCCTTGAAAAGCCTTGCAGCCCTGCCTGAGTTTACCTGTGCAAGGAGAAAGCGAGGTGTCTAACCTGCAGAGGGCTAGGCTTCCAGGCTCTGCGGCTGGCTTTCCTGTTCCTATTGCCCTCTACGATTGCTTCCTCACTAGGATCCTGATGTTCTGTCTGTGTAAGGAGTCTGTCTGGAAAGTGCATGTGGGGCTAGCCTGCTCACCCACACCCAAGCATACGGTGGGCACACAGCGAGTGGCATGTTTCCCTAGATCAGGGAATGGCACTGAAGCCTGCAGGACAAACCCATCCTATCCTGTGGCACTATTTCGAATGGTTGGCAGGACTGAGTCAGGCAGAGGCCGTGGTGCCCAACTGATTTAATCTCTAGACCTTCATGAGGGTAGGGGGAGCCAAATCCTGGCTGTTATTTCATTCCATTCTAAGGGCACTGTAAGGCACACAATAGCACTGGGCATATCAATGGAGAGCGAAAACGGGATGGAGAATACACTCTTTTTGTTTGATCTATTCAGACAGGGTCTTACTCTGCAACCCAGGCTGGCCTTGAACTCATAGCAACCTTCCTGACTCAGCCCTCAGATGCTGGGATTGCTCAGCTGTGACTTCCTGAGTCAATTATTCATGTCCCAGAAAATGTTAAAGGAAGGAAGAAAGGAGAGACAGTAAAAGGGGAGGGGGGTTTAGACCTGCAGGGACAGGGGTGAAAGGAGAGATTTGAGAGTCCAGAGAGGTGAAGGTATAGCATGTATTCCTCAGAGAAGAGCATCTGGGGAAGGCCATAACAAGTGCTGAGGTCCTGAGGCAGAAACCCACCTGGCGTTTGTGGGAATGCATGGAGGCCAATATGGCCGATATGCAGTGCGCGACTCTAGGGGAGAGGAGAGGTAAGGTCAGCGAGGTAGCAGGAACAGTATGATGGATCAGCTTGTGGGCCATGGTTAGCCTATAATGAGGGGCATGTGGTATCATGCTTCACTTCCCTATTTTCCAGAGGTTAAATGCCTGGCCCAGAGCCCCACAGTGATGGAACCGCACTCGGACTCTTGGCTCTGACACAGGTTGTGATTTTCCACACCTGCATGTAGATCAGCACGCTGATGCTCCTGTTTGAATAACAGCAGCAGGAGGGCCCTGTGACCTATGCCTGGACAAGCTGTACAGACAGGCAGGGCGTTCCTAGGCTCTGTGTCTGGGCCTAGTGTGGCCCACGCACTTCAAATAGCTCCACTCCGAAGCCAAGACCCAGGGCGGGCCCTGCCTCTCCCAAACCAAGCGCAGCAATTAGTGCCTCTGCCTGATTGCTTGCTCGCTTCCCCTCAGCCTCAGAGGGCAGTTGCCTGGTGCTGAGGCAGGGCCTTTAAGGCGACTGCTCCGCGTTTATAGCAGCTAACTCAGAGTCACCCACAAGGCAAGAGTCTGAAGCCACATCCTGGCTGTTGTGGTTCCGACAGAGTCCTGGATCTCAACTGACCTTGGCCTGGCCACCATCACCTTGGTGAAGGAGTCAGCAGCAGCTAGATGAGCTTGCCTCCAAGGCCCCTCCTATGCATTCTGCGTCCCTCTGCCGGAGGAAGTCCTGCCCAGTGGCCCACTTGAAGCCTCCCAGTGTACGGTCTTAGGTGGTGTGAAGTCTTGGATGACTAGCCACACTGCCTTTTTCCTCCATCCCCAGCTCAGCTGAGAATTTCTGCAAAGCTGACCCTGGCCACCTTCTGCTGATAACCCACCAATTCTGGAGCTCTCTGACCTCTCACAGCCTAAGGCTGCAGTCTCCTGTCCTGCCTCTTCCCTCCAGCGCAGTCTGTCTATCCCAGAGCCAGATGTGACACTAGGCTGTTTTTGTGAATGTTAGAACATGCCTGCCAGTGTGCCTCAGTCCCCACCACTTCTCATGGCTGACCTAGCGTCTCCTCACAGGTTCTAACCCAAATGTGTCCCTAGTGATGGCCCCAGACATCTCTGTGGCCCCATCTCCTTCCTTGGTAACCCCCCACCCTGACTATTGCATCCTTTGATCCATTGAGGCCCAGTCCTATCTCTTCCTCATCTGAGCCCTGGGTTTGCCTGTCTTATGTACCTATACACACCCCACTGCAGAATGGACCCTAGGTAGGCCAGGACCAGGCTTCCTTCACTCTGCCTGGCTTCCAGAAGGTGGGTTTTGGGAGAAAAGGGGTGGAGGTGAGCGAAAGAGTAGGAGAGGGACAGTAAAACTCAAGGCCAGATCCCTCCAGATTGGTACAGGATCCCCAGAGAGAGGAAATCCATCATGATTCTCTGGGAACATCTAGGGAAGACTGTGGTAAGATGTTGCTCGGGAAATAGCATCCACCTCCCCAGGTCCTGAGACCCAGCTACGCTGCCTCCACAGGAAGCAGAGGACTAGGCTGGACAGGCTCCCTCAGTCACTGGCTTGAGGTCACTGACTCACGCTCAGGCCCCTCTCAGGATCCTGCTGCTGCTGCTGGAGCCTAGGCGTTCCCGAGGGATTGTACCAGGCCTCCCACAGCTACTTGGCGTACCCCAAAGCCCACAACCTCAGGTTCCCTGACTATAAAACCAGGCGCTTGACCAGACACTCCCTGAGTTCCTCCTACTCTGAGACTGGAAGTGAGCGTCCTGCTTTTGACACTCCCAGGGCCAAGTCCTAAGGTCCTAAGAGAAAGTTGTTGACAAGCAGGAGGCCCAGGTGGACTTAGAGCATGGAACTGTTAGCCACCACGAGGCCTTTGGCTCCCTCTACTGGTGAGTCCTGGCTCCCTCTGAATAGCCCAGACCTCACTCCCTACCCTCCGTCCTGCCTAGGTTGCCAGGAGATTCTGCCCAGGTTACCATTTCTCCCTGGCCCTCTGTCTCCCTAGTTGGCACACCCATAAGTTGCCAGGTGAACTAGCACCTAAGGCCCCTCCAAGGCGCTGTTTCCCCCCAGATGCTGGAAGTTTTCAGGCAGAAGCAGGCTAGGGGCTGCTCACCGATATCTTGGTAAAGACAGACAGCAACAGGGACAGGACAGAGAGGTACATGCGAATGCGCTGGCCACCGAAGCGCCTCTGAATGTATTCAGGCAAGGTGACGATCTGGGGAGCAGAGGGGATGAGGCCTAAGTGAACTCAAAGGGATGAGGTGAGTATCAGGGGTGGGGCTGGAGGTCCTGCCTGCCCCTGCCAACTCGAGGAGGGTCCAGCCTCTGCCAGGGCCCCAGGCACAGACTCACCTCTGAAGATATGTAGATAGGTACAAACACCCATGCCAGCGCCAAAAGCACATACGTGGCCTGTGGGAACAGAGGCATGAGAAGGCTGTGGGCCCAGTTCCCGGAAGCCCCGCCTGAAACACAGCCAAATGTGGCAGCCACTGGGAGCACTGGGACTCCTTCGGCCCCTCCTGCAGTGCTGTGAGAAGCTGGGTGCTCCGGCCTCCTGTGAACCTCTCTGGACAGGTAGGCTGCCCAGAGCTCCTGTGTCTACGACCAGCTGTGTGTCACAGTGTGGCAGGCCTTGGCTGACGCACATTGCCACAAGCCACCTTATCTAGGGTGGTCAGTGTGGCTGCGCCCTCTGCCCCAGCCCTCCCACAGGCCATACCCATCCTCTGCGACTCACATTCCACTCGAAGCCTGCCACAGCCAGGCCTCCAGCAGCGCCTGAGCCTGCCAGTCCCACGAAGAGGCCAGAGCCCTCACTGCTTGCAAAGAGCGAGGCTCCGATCTGCAGAGGGAAGGAAACTGGTCATTGTGAGCCCATTACATCAGCGCCTCATGACCTGGAAATACCTCCTTCAACCTGGCAGGTCTTAGGGGCATACCCCCTTCACATATAAGGAGCCCAGGATCAGGGGTGCAAGTTGGGGTACCCATAGCTAGCCACAGGCTAAGAAAGTAACAGTTTTTTCAGACTCAAAAGCTCTTTAACTCAAAACTTCTAGCAGTTTGTCCCTACATAGCCAACCTGGAGCCGGGGCAGGGGTCTCCTTTAGCCCAGACTTATTCCATTGAGCTGGTCTCCGACAGGGACCTTGAATAACACTTATGAAGTGACCTCAGGGATGGAGTCAGCCCCGTGGACAAAGGAGAGGTGAGAAGGGGGTGAACTCACCGGCCACCAAGCCATGTCCCGGCCTGCCAGGAAGTAGCCGCTCACTGTGTTCCTGCTGGCTCGACAGGCAGACTATGAGAACAGCAAAGGGCAGAAGCTTCAACAAAGGTGGGACGCTGTGCCCCCGCCAAATGCCTTGCATCTCCTCCATACTCTGAGCATAGCAATGCCATGTGACCCACAAAGTGAGGATGTGTACACACACACACACACACACACACACACACACACACATACACACAATGCTCACAGTAGCATTATCCACAAGAGCCCAAAGTGGAAACAACCTGAAGTCCACAAACTGATGAACGCGCAAAATGAGGCATATCCATACAATGGAATGCTAATTAAGCAAAGGATCCACAGTTGTCTGGCTCCCAGTTTATTTTCTCTTTCAAGGTTGGGCCGTATTCCTTTCCTAAGACACAATATTCCTATTTGGTCAAGCAAGAGGGGTTGGTTTTACGGATAAGATAAAAAAGGCAACAAAAACTCTGAGCAGGCTGCCAACTCCAAAGTGACTGACTGCCTCATGAGGCTGAGACTGGAGCAGGGCGGAGAACCCATGGAGTGGACCCTGGGCTACTTCCCGTTTCTGGTGCCGGCAATGAGTCAGGGGAACTGCACTTCATCCTCCCAGCGGAAGCTGGCCTCATTGTGCAGGCAGTAGCGCCTCTTCAATGTGATGTCCGGGAAGTGGAAACTTACTGTGGTGACTGACCCCACCTTTTCTTTTTTTAGAACTCCTGTTTTTATTTTACATGCATACCTGTGCACCATGTGCACGCCTGGCGCCTTCAGAAGGCAGATGGTACTGGAGCCTCTGGAACTGGAGTGACAGATGGGTGTGACATGTGGGTGCTGGGAATTGAACCCAGGTCCCCTGGAAGAGCAGCCAGTACTCTTAACCTACTGAGCCATCTCTCCAGCCCTGTGATTGACTCCATTTTGACTCTCAACCTGGCCTGTTGGGACTATACTCTAAAGCAGTGGTCCTTGTCGCTTGTTTATTTAACGTCTCCCCGTCCATCAAACCTTCGCATCAGTGGGAATATCTGGTCCAAACTCACTGCTCAGATCTGCTGCTGTAACTTCATGGTCACATGTGTCTCACTTCTGTGTGTGTGTGTGTGTGTGTGTGTGTGTGTGTGTGTGTGTGTGTGTGAGAGAGAGAGAGAGAGAGAGAGAGAGAGAGAGAGAGGACAAGCTCTGCTCTCAGCCCTCATCTCCCACTTTGTTGGAGACAGGGTCTCTGGCTGTTCGGCATTGGTAGATTCTAGATTCTCCTACTTGCCTCCCATCTCCCTGCCACGGAAGCACTGGTCTCACAGGTGCATGGTTTAAACGGGTTCTGGTTTTGTTTTATTTGAGATAGGGTCTCTCTGTGTAGCCCTGGCTGACCTGGAACTCACTCCGTAGACCAGGCTGGCCTTGAACTCAAGAGATGTACCTGCCTCTGCCTCCTGAGCGCTGTGATTAAAGGAGTGTGCCACAGCTGCCCGGAGGGGTTCTGGGCCCCCTCGTGCTTGCACAGCACAGGCTTTACCTACCCAGCTAAGTCCCCCGCCTGTCACCTCTGCTCATTCCAGCTGATGCTCAGTGCATGGCTACATGCAAATGCTTGAACTTCTAGAAGGGACAGAGACCACAAGTGTGACCTTCAGGAGAACAACACCAAGATGTGACCACTTTAGCCAGCACTGGGCTTCATGAACCAAATCAAAGAGGCTGGTAGGGAGTCTGCTCGTTCTAACCAGCGGTCGGCTCCTTCACGCAGGCCTCTGAGCCTCTGCAATTCCTGGCACACCAGCCTAGGTACAGGAAGCACCGGCACCAGGGTGGATTCCTCTGTGCTTCGATGGCAGGCAGAGAGCCCATTGCATGCTGGGAACTGGTGAGCACAGTTGCTAGAATGCTGCCTAGGTTGGCTGGTAGGGGCTGACATGCTCTGAGGCCCTCTGCAGGAGGTGGGCTTCAGGGAACTGGCCTCAAGGCAGTGCTGTACTGGTTTGATCTGGCCCAAAAGGCTGTTTTCCTCGTGCTCCTCCTTAGCAACCTGGGGTCACACCGGTTCTCAGTCAGGAGCCTCTCCTTGTATCTAGAGTCTTCCCTGAGGAGCTTAATCATTTCTAGCTTTCAATTTAGAGCGAGAGAGCCTGGCAACCCTCGTGCTCACTTGAACACTTACAGGCCATGGCAGGTTACTAATTAGCCTCATTTCAGCACTGTCTCTTGGGAAATAGGCAGGGGAGGCACCAGGAATGTCCCCACCGGGGAGCAGTCAGAGCACAAGCTCCCTGTCATATGTGCATGTGGCCTGTCCATATGACTGATTAGCTTAGTAACGGCAAAGGTTACAGGGCTCCACAAAAGGTATAATCCTGACATACTGTGAAAATTAGAAAAATGTGACAGAGTGAGAGCATGCAATGGGAAAAATGGCACGAAAGACACGCTCAATGGAGGGTTGTTAAATCGTCACCTTGTAAACTGTACACACACACACACACACACCACACCCCCACCCAACACACATACCATAGGGCTGGAGAGATGGTTCAGTTGTTAAGAGCATTGACTGCTCTTCCAGCAAATCTGGGGTGCTAGGGCTCAATTCCTAGCACCCACATGGCGGCTCACAATCATCTGTTATTCCAGTTGCAGAGGATCTGACATTCTCTTCTGGCCTCAACCACGGCATCAGCCAATCAATGGGCATCAGCCAGGCATGCACATGGTACACAGACATACATGCAGGCAAAACACCCATCCACATAAAATGAGACACAAAACAAAGCAGGATCTGAAAAGTACAAAAAAGGAGAAGAGTTGGGAACCCAGCTCTGCTGATGGCCACGATGGGCTATTTGTCATTTGGTATCTGATCACATAATTAATTATATTAGTGCTGCCACCACTACCGCCATCACCATCACCACCAGCACTGTGCTGGTGTGGTGGCTGGTATGGGAGGGCCCACACCATTATTGGGGCCACTGTGGGCTACTGATCCTAGGTTCTGTAAGAAAGCAGGCTGAGCAAGCCATGGGGATCAAGCCAGTAAGCAGCACCCCTCCCTGGCCTCTGCATCAACTCCTGCCTCCAGCGTCCTGCCCTGCTTGAGTTCCTGCCCTGACTTCCCTCAGTAATAGGTTGTGACCAGAAAGCTATACGATGAAATAAACTTTCTTTCCCAAGCTGCTTTTGGTCATGGTATTTTATCAGAACAATAAAAACTTCAACTAAGACAACCACCACCATCATTCTACCGCCACCACCACCACCTTCACCACCACCTCCACCACCACCTCCACCACCTCCACCACCACCACCGTCACTACCACCAACACCATTACCATCATTAGCACCCTTAAAACATCACCATTGCTATCACCACCATTACCGCCATCAACACCATGTTCATTAGCACTAACCGCTGCCAGTCCTACTGCTACTGCCACTACTCTAGGTCCGACGGTGGCAGCAGGGTTGTGTCATCCCCAGGCCTCTTTGGTAGACATCATCCTGTGAAGCAGATGCTGTCTGAGTGAACATGAGCAGTCCCCCACTCCCCAGGCTCTTATCTTGGGCCAGGATTTATAGAAGGAAAGAAAGGGATGATGAGAACCTACAGAGAACCCCTAGGCTCCAAGGCTGAGGCAAGGAATGGCCCTAAACATGGTACAATGAGGTGGGCCACGGCTGCTTTGTCGCACTTCCTCCCATTTAGGGGTGCCCTAAAGATTGGCATCAAGATCACACTAAGGAGGGCCTACTTCCACTCTGTGGACCCTGGGTAAGTCTAACTACCCCCTGTTGCTTTGGCTTCTTATCCACAGGCAAGCCTGGCCTTCCTTGAGGTTGGAGGTGAGGTAGGTATGGGACATAGGGAGGACTCTGACAACTTCGCAGCAGGGCGTCTGCTGTTAATAGATCTTTTGCTGGACCAAATCACCTGTCTGTCCGATCAAGGGGAAGAAACTAGGCTCAGGAGTTAGTGAGCAGGGCAGGTCTAGCAGGCACTTTGAGCCCCTGAACACCCTCCCACCTCTGGATTCTTCATCCAAGACTCTGGGCACAGTCAGGGAATCACTACAATCCCAGTATTCAGGCAGCAGGCCACCAAACAAGACCCGTGCTGTCACCCAGCTCTGCCCTGAGAGCCCTGAGGGCCACCATAGGTTCTTACCCATATGCCCACAGCTACATTCAAGGCAAAATACACAGCGATGACAATGATGTCAGTGATGCTCAGCTGGGACCCTGGAGCATGAAGGACTTCTGTGGAGTTGTCCGCTGCCATCCTGCTGCAAGCACCACTGGGAGCCCAGGGACTGAGGAGAGGCAAGGTCACCAAGGGCTCTCTGAGCAGAAGTCATTGATCATTAAACCAGTGAGAAAGTGGCATCTCTAGCCCATGGTGTGGCTGTGTGCCAGGGACTGCTTCAAAGTGCAGATATATCCCCTTGGCTCCCCAGTGGCAGGTGAATCTCAGGGGGCAGAAACTAGGGTGATCTGGAGAAGCGAGGGCAGAGGGAAAGGAGCCTTCTTAAACTCTGAGTGGGCTGGGAGAGGGAGGGAATGGAATGGCTCTGAAGGAAGCCCCAGTTTGGCTTCCCCTAGATTTAATTTAGTTAAGTATAGAGGAATAGGATGGGATGGCTGCCTTACCTCTTGGGACATCTCCCTGAGGGATAGGTATGTCCCTGGATTCAGTTGGTTGAGTTGAATTCAAGATGGTGGCTCCTTACAACAGCAGGAGTGACCCTATGCCAAGCCCTAAGTCCTATCATCATATTTTCTTTCTTTTCTTCTCTTTCTTTCTTTCTTTCTTTCTTTCTTTCTTTCTTTCTTTCTTTCTTTTTTTCCTTTCTTTTTCTTTTCAGCCAGCAAGACAGACCTGCCTGTACCACTTGGCCACCCATTTACCCACCTCTTCAGCCTGGGCCAATAGTTGTCAAATACCAAAGACCCCTTCCCATTCTGTAGCTGTTCCCATGTCATGGTCAAAGCCATCATGCAGTGTAGGTGATAGCTTAGTCTAGCTGAGGAAACAAAGGCTGAAGACTAAGGTCCCCACCATTCAAGGGGCAGAGCTAGGTTCTCCTGCAGATTCAGATGTGGGTCTCAGCATGGTGACCCCACTGTGACTCCACCAAGGCCTTCCACCCACTCAGCAGTGACATTAATGTGTCATGCTCTGCTCAGTCACTTGGCTCCTGTTCTTTGACACATTTGGAGTTTAACTGCACACGAAACCCAGAAGTGTTAATGAGTGAGTGGCTGCTGCCAGGAACACACTGGCCTACAATCCCACCTTGTCTGCTACTTGGCAACACTGAGCAGAGACTAAAGGTTAACTCATCTGTGTAGGGCATGACTAAGACAGGAAACTGAGTTTCTACTGAGCACAGGCTTCAGCAGGCTTATATGGCTGTCTCCACTACACTTGCTGGCAAGCTGGCCTCAGTGGAAAAGATTGCCTCTAGTGTCTGTGAACCAAATGCCCATTTGTACCATTCTAAAAGACCCACTGAGTGACTTCCAGATTTATTAAGTGTGGTGGTTTGAATTAGAATGACCTCCATATGCTTATATAGCTGAAAGCTTAGTCACTAGGGAGTGGCCCCACTTAAAAAGATTAGAAGGATTGGGAGGTGTGGCCTTGTTGCAGGAAGTGTGTCACTGAGGTTTCAAAAGCCCATGCCAGGCCCAATCTCTCTTCCTCTGCTTGTGGATGAGGATGCAGCTCTCAGCTATTGCTCCAGTGCCATGCTGTCATCTTCCTTGCCATGATGATAATGGACTGACCCTCTGAAACTGTAAGCAAGCCCCCTAATGAAATGTTTTCTTGTATAAGAGTAGCTTTGGTCACGGTGTCTCTTCACAGTAATAGAACACTAAGACACTGAGCCTGTTTCATCAAGATGAGTGGCCGAATCAACAGCCACTGGTGCCTCCCCTCAGCAGGAAGTAAGGCACTGATAGATAACATTGCCCACCTTTAATGAAAGAAAAATTTCAAGAAGAAAACTGATTTTCTAGTTCTATCCTGAAGGATGTGATCATGGGAGAAATGACAGCCCTGCTCCTGTGCCCAGCCATATCCACATTTACACACATGAAACAGGACATAGCAATTCTGGTTCAACTAGCCCAAAAAGGTGAGGACTCCCCACCTTGTTGAGGAGCTATCTGCTTCTTAGTCCATTTTCTGTTACTACAACCAAATACCATAGACTAGGTAAAGAAAAAAAAAAAATTCATGCAGCCCATTGTTCTGGAAACCGGACAAAGGGACACATCGAGAACGGCCTTCTTGTTTGTGGGGGCCCTAAAAGTCCTGAAGCAGGACAGAGAGGCATGTACCCCAGAGTGAACAGACTTTGAAAACAGACCCACTCTTGTATCTTGATCAGGTAATTACACCCTAATCACCTCTTAAAGTCTCCTCCCTTCTGATTCTGTAGATTCAGTTTTCACTAAGTGAGATTTGGGGATGTGCTCAAACCATAGAACCATCCATCTGAAGAGGAAGTCCCCAGACTCTTTAGAACCGATTTCTGAGTCTGTCATCAGTGCGGGGGTTGGGACCAGAGCAAAACAAATGTGTAACCAGCACAGAGCATTGTCACCTAGCAAGTGTGAAGCTGCAGAGCACAACCAGGTCAAAGGCTGTGGAAGGCCAGAAGCTGCTGCTAGGACTCATCACAGAGGTGAGCTTAGCCACGTGGGAGGAAAGTACATGATTGCCACAGGTCACTTAGGAATACAGAGCAGTCTCCTCTGGGTCATCTCAGAGAGGGGCTGGGGGGGCTTTGGCTTTCTTAACCAAGCTGAGGTTGACTATCTTTTTGGATGAGATTTATTAGAAGCACTATTAACACCACATTATTAACACCACCAGGGCTGGCTGCTGCATGGCAGGAGCTCTGAGGACTCCCAAGGCAGAGTATAGGTCCCTTCTTACAGGAACACGAAGGGTGAAAGAGAACCCTCATTTTTCATGCACCAGCATGGTCTGAGCATTTCATAAGACCACATGCAGCCTTTGCCTCGGCTCAGCTGGGCGACCCTCAGTCATGCTGGAACCGCCTCTGGGAGGCGGTTCAGGCTGGTCTAACTTCGGTTTAGAGAAGGCCCAGGAGTGTCTTGGGCAGTGGTGATGAACTCATCAGTCACTCATCAATCCCAGACTGGTGGCACTTCCTAGATGCCATTGCCACTGCCCACCTGTGTGCAGCATCCGCATTTGTTGGGCCCCATGACCTCCTGGTGGCCCTTCTTGCCTGGCTTTCCTTCTGTTTGCTGATCTGGTGGCTGAGCTTTTGGGTGCTCAAGTCCAGGCAGCCACAATCCAGTCCTCATCATCCCCTCATCCCTGCCTCTTCTCAAAAGCTTCAAGGGCTCAGTAGGAAGGAACCCCAGGGGCCAGCTCAGGTCCCTGTCATCCTGATCACTGCATTAATACTTACCAAGTGCTCACTGGACGCCCATGCACTGTCTACCTCGCACTGCCACCTCTCTGGTGGACGTCACTGTAACCAAACACCTGACAAGAAGCAATGTAGAAGTACTTCTTTCTGCTTAGGCTCATGGAAGGGAAAGCATGGTGCCTCGAACTGGCATGGCAGTTCGAGGCTGGTCACACTACCCTTCTCTGTCCATCAGCTCAGCTTCACCTCTCAAGATGGCACTCACAGCTAACACATGAGCCTGTGGAGGACATTCTGTATTCAAACCACAGCATCCATTACCCAAGACACAGAGACATTAAGGAACCTGCTGAGGATCACACAGCCTGGGTCCTTCCAACCCAAACCTGGGTGAGTCTATCCACTCACTGCCATGGACCATCACAGGCTTTCAGTGTAGGTGCGAACAAAGGATCCTGTTGTAATGCTACGCCCTGGAATTTCCCAAGGAGTCTCACGCTGAGTAAAGGAAAAGGCCTGGTGCCAAATAGAAGAGGAAAGAGATACCCCGCCATTCTGACAGCTCATCATAGCCCAGACAATGTGGCAGTGACGGACATAACCACACCTGGAGTAGGATTATTTAGTTGTGCCTATCTCTTGCTTTCTCTTTAAACCCAAACCTCTGTCAGGCCCTCTGGAAGATGGACTTGGGCCAGAAAGTGTCACAAGTCCTTTTATTCTTCCTCCCAGTGTGGCCACACTAAATATACGCTTTCTACTTTCTCAAGTGTCTGTCATCTTGACCCACAGAAGACAGATGGGTCAAGTAGCTTGTTAGGTCTGTCCAGAATCAAGAGCGTCAACACGACACAGCTGACATTTATGCACGGTGGTGCCTGCCTTTAATCTCAGCACGTGTGAGTCAGAAGGCAGAGGCAGGAGCATCTGAGTGAATTCAAGGCTTAGCCTGGTCTACAAAACAAGCTCCAGGTCAGCAAGGGTCACATAGAGTGCCTGGAGACAGCACTGTTTTCATGGAGCTATTTCAAATAAGAATGTTACAATTTCATTAAGTGCTGTGTGAGCTATAGGGCAGGTTGGTGATGATGTGCCCAGCTTTAGTCAATCTACCAGGCAAGCAGAGAAAGGCAGAAGTGTTGATTCAATGCATTGGTCCAGCTGAGGTGGGAGGGCCTGCGTGGTGGACAGGGGCTGGAAGTAAGTTATCTACAGCACCTAGGGGCCTGGTAGTCATCTTGAAAGCAAATGGGCCCAAATCTGAGTGGATAAGCTAGTCTTGTTAAAAATTTATTATTGTTATATGTGCATATAGGATGAGGGGTGGGCTTGTGACAGCACAAACATGGAGGTCAGAGGACAACTTTGTGGTGTTGATTTCCTCTTTCCACCTTCACATGAGTTCCGGGGATCAAATTCGGGTGTCAGGCTTGGGTGGGGAGTGCTTTTACCCACCAAGCCATCTGACCAGCTCTGGCTATTTCTGTGAATACTTTCTTTTAGGTTATTGAGTGACTACCAACTATTTATGTTTTTATTCTCAACAGTTTCATATATGCTGGCTTGTTTTTCTACTGCCATGAAAACACCATGACCAAGGCAACTTATAAAAGAAAGCGATTATTTGGGATTCCCGGTTCCAGAAGCTTGAGTTCATGAACATCGGGGCAGGCATGATGCTGGACTAGTAGCTGTTATTCAGGCATGGGCACGAGGTGGGACACTAACTGGGCCTGGCATGGGCTTTTGGAATCTCAAAGTCCTCCTCCAGGGACACATTTCCTCCAACAAGGCCATCCCATATGTCCTAGTGATGCCTAAATATTCCTCTCACCTCTATGTGTGCTGTGACATGGCCACCCCCTCA